CCCGGCTCTTTCCCCGTTCCCCGTGGCGGCCCCATCCCTCCCCCGATCCCTGGCTCGACCGCAGACCGCGTCTTGCGCTCCCGTTCGCGCCCGCCGTCCGAAGCCGGCCCCTCGGCCGAGCCTCTAACAGAGTCGGAGGAGGCCACACAGGCAAGGCGCGACTCGGGCAATCCAACACCGTACTCGCGCTCGCCCGAACTCCGCGTGTCCCATAAACTCGCAGAGCGCAAGCGCAGGAAAGAGATGAAGGATCTCTTCGACGAGCTGCGCGACCAGCTGCCTGCGGACCGTGCGATGAAGGCGAGCAAGTGGGAGATATTGAGTAAAGGTTCGTCTCTCCATTCTCACTGTCTGCCCACTTGGGGTTATATTGACTTGTCGTCATTGTGAACAGCCATCGATTTCATCAACCAGCTCAAGACCCACAATACCGATCTCTTGCGCGAGAACGAGGTGTTGCGCAACGACATGGAGAACGTGCGCGCACATAACATGCATCCCTTTCCGCCTGGCGCTCCGATCATGTATCCCGGACACGGCCACCATCCAGGCGTTCCTCCTTACCCGATCTCACTACCCACGTCTGGCGCGCAGCCTCTGAGCCGTCCCGATTCGCAAGGACCCACACAGAACGGCGACCACCCGCCGGCGGAGGGCCAGCCATCTTGATGAGAGCCGTCGCCTGTCGCCTGCCAGCTTACTCCATCATCAATACTCGTATCCAGTTGCCAAGCTGTCGTAATTATTCGTCCGCACTCGGTCCCCCAATTACTTGTCACCTACGTAAATCGTCTTCCCGCAAGTCTCGCCATGCTGCTCATTCAATGCTTTCAATAACCCTTAGCACTTCATCCTCTGTTTTCCCTTCGATCTTCTATGGTCTCACCCTTTCTTATTCGTTTTTAGTGCTCCCCTCGGTTTCCATACGCATTCACATCGTCTGATCGTGACATTTCCTCTCGACGGCTTGCCCGCGCGCTTTTCTTGTCCTTTTTGTCTGTACACGCAACCTACAGCCGAGATTCATCTTGCCTTTATTGGAAGCGCCACAGGCCACGCGAGTTTGTGGGTGGCTGTGGGTGGCAACTTCTCGCCGCTGCCTTTTGCGATCCGGTTGTTGCTTCTCCCGCGCCTTCAAGGGACGAGCTTCGAATCACACCTTGATATCCCAAGAGCTACACTGGCATCATGGCGCACGGCTTTGGCGAGCTCTTGATGCTCATACTTTCCTCCATAGGTTCTGACGTCGCTTTATCTGGACCACCGAAGATCATCTCTTCGGAGTGCAGCAGTTTGTCATCTTCATACTTGCTCGTTCACTTTGCAAGTCCAATCGAATGAGCGGGTCCTTCTGAGAACTGGCACTGCGTCTTGAGACTGGGTCGGTTCGCGGCGCCAAGCGAAATGCAAGCAAGCAAGCGGACCTACAGCGACGAGTTGTTGACTAGTCACAATGGCCAAGTAAATTCACCAAGGTGCACGAAGCTCTTGCTCTTTCGGGCATCCTGCGCAAACTTAGCGGTACCTTGATGAATATCCCAACCTATATCCCGCACGTAAGCGGAAGATCACGCTCGATCACTGAAAGATGATTCTTCTCCACGTCTAACATGTCCTTTGAGCCTGCCTTAGAATTAGTACCGTCCTCGCGAGCCCAAGCAGCGCGTGTCGTCACATATTAGAACACACGAACGGCAGCCCCATCTTGTGTTCAATTTTGGGAGAGGTGTCCTCGAACTTCGCGATGATCTCAATCTCCAGCCCGCCCACCGTGCCGCTCGCTGCTAAGGCTATATACGCTGTGAAGTCATGACGCACGTAGGAAGACGGGCGTTATCGGGACAGTGAGCAGAAACGTCGATGTACTTCAGAGCGTGCATTACTACTACGTACCGTGTGACGAAGTCTATCACCTTACAAAAGTCGGCCAGGACTGGTGGAGAAGTTCGCGAAACGTACTCGCAACAGCGTCCATGGATTGATCACTATGATAGTACAGACACGAAATCCGGTATGCGCAATATCTACGAAGGTGTAATACATCCAATACTCATGGCAAGAGGCTGACGATCAAGCGGAAGTATCCATTCCTTGGCTCGACCCACCAGGCGCGGGGGACGAGCTCGAGGCCTTCTTTCCGCCACGATACGCCTTGCGGAGTGTAAGCACCCCCTTTTGCAGACTCGCAATCTCCTTCACAAGCTGTGAGAAGGCGTCTTTGGAAGCGGCATCTCGGAGGAAAGGCGTGAAGTACGAGATGCAATCTCTCGTAGTGGCGCCTTCCTGGCCGCGGAGCCATTCGATGACCATCTCCCTCTTAAGCTCAATGGGGTTGCCGTTCGCGTCGACAGTAGCAGCTACGGCGCCCGCGCGGTGCTTCTTCTTCTGCGGCGCCTCTGAGCCTTCGGCGGTAGGGCTCGAGTCATCCGCCTTGCGTTTACCGTTCGAGACGGAGGTGCCGTTGGGCATACCTTTCGTAGGAGAGGGCGAACGGGGAGAGGTCGGGCTGGTGGCGAGGGGGCTAGTTGCACGGCTGCCACCACTCGTGGATATCTTCGGGCGCGGAGGCTTGGGGCTGGTTGCGCGCTGTGCGATCAGAGAGTGACCGCCATGCGAGGGTGTAGCAGGCTTGGGCGAGGTTTGACGGGAAGTCGTACCATTGGTAGGCGGACGAGGGGTTTGGGAGCCTGCGCGATGAGGGACGGGTTGTGCCTTGACAGCCGGCTCGTTAGTGACAACGTCTTCGTCAGACGACTCTTCTTCTTCCTGCAACAGGAGTTAGACCTTAGTTATGACGGAACCCAAAGTTAGAGGTCACCTCGCTGGCGTACGGATTCTCGTCCGAGTCGTCCGAGCCGTAGAGGTCGTTCTTCTCGTGCCGACCGACGAGTTTGCGCATGGACTTGCTCACGCGCGGACCTTGCTCTGGTTCATCGTCGTCGGTGACGACGTTCTCATCGCGGTGCTTGTTCGCCGTCATGTATTCCTTCTGTAGGCGTTCCTCCATCTCCTTTGTCAGCTCGTCATCTTCGTACAGCCCGACCTTCTCCTCGTCGTCTTGAAACTCTTCCTCGTACGGCACCTCATCGTAGTCGGCGTCCATATCGTTGTCCCGACGACGGCGGCCGCCCTCCTCATCGTCACCGAAGAGGTCGTCCACGGGTTCCTCTTTGACACGCAGACCAGGACCGCTACCCGAGGGGCCTGCATCGATGGGCTCCTGTTTGAAGGCGGCAGCGGTGGTGGCGTCAAGCTGTGATTTGCCTGTACGGCGAAGAAGCCAGCGCTCGGGGTCCTTGTTCTTTGTGATGCTGGCCATCATCTTCTCGGCTGTCTCGAGGTTTGGAATGGCGTGCGCGGCCTTCTTGTGGAAGCGATACCAGCGATGTGCGGGGACGAACTGAAAGGAGTTGTTCCCCGCGGGCATGAGCATCCCATGGTTCTCTGATTTCGCGACCTCGTCCATCTGTGCCGTCCAGAGCTCCTGGCCCGCGCCGTCTTCGATCACCCACGGGTATCGCTCCTCCTTCCTCAGCTCCCGCACAGAGTCCGCCACCTTGTACACCTGCCGCGTCTTCTTCCCCGGCTTGCGCCGCCCGGCTCCCGGCCCGCCCTTCTGCTTCTCCTTGGCCGGCGCGTTGGTGTGGATCGGCTTGCCCTCGGCGTCGAGCATGACCGTCCGCCCGTCGGCGCCTATCACCGGCTTGCCGTCGGCGCCCAACATCGGGCGCACGCCGACCGGTGGCGGGGCCTCGGCGTCATCGGCGTCAGGGTTCCCGCGCCTGACGTCCTTCCTGTTCAACTTGACAGGCTGCGCCCACTGTGTCACGTCCACCGGCTTGCGCGACTCGAAGCGCATGACGTCGTATTTCCAGCCATTCAGCGACGAGGACACGATCGAGAATTCCTGGTAATCATTTCCAGCCGGGAATCCCGCCTCCTCCTCGGCCGTCGTCGCGGGCTTGGGCGACGGTGCGGCTTTGGGTGGCGTGGGAGACGGTGCAGCAGAGCCGGCGGGTGAGGCGGGCTTCGTCTGCGAGCCGGCGGGCGGGCGCTTGGCCGCCACCTTTGCGAGCTGGCCCTTCTTCTGCTTCGGGTGGAAGAGTTTCGCGGCTTCGGGCGGGAGAGGCATCGTCGTCGGTCTGAATCAGCAACAAGGCCCAATTAGGGTATTTATACGATTATCGAGAACAATAGCCGGCCGTGCGCGGTGGCCGCGGTGGACAAAGCAAGGCCGTCGTCCAAACCACGCCAACTCGACCGGCCCTCGGGCCCGGAGGCGTGCGAATCCACAGGCGCGTGACTTGCCGCCCGAACGCGTCTCGCGCGCAATCGCGACGCGCTCCCTGTCTCCCAACCGCCATGAGCTCAGGCTCCAGGTTCGCTTTTCGCCCCTTCAGGCAACCAGAGCGCGAGGGAGGCGCTCAGCCCGCGTCGCATGCCCAACCTTCTGCGCCGCGCCAGGCGCCCAAACTCTCCTTTTTCCGCCAATCCGGGGCACCGCGTCCGAAAACATCGGCCGAGCATGTCGTCGAAGTCAAGGAGGAGCCGATGTCCAACGAGGAAGACGGCGATGTCATTCACTGGACTTCTTCGAGTGATCAGACTATGATGCCGCCACCGCCGGTCACTGGTGGCCAACGCTCTCGTTTCAACGTTCTTGGCTCGCACACGACATTCTCTCCCGCGCCATCTGCGAACACGAACAGCATGCGGACCGCATTCGGGCAACATTCAAACCGAGAACCGCGTATGATAGTCCGCACCGACAGACTGTCATGCGCATATACTGACCGTACGGTCCAGGTATTGCTCTTGAACGAGAGACTCACACACTCGGTATATATCCCTTCCTCGGTATCTGAGCCTCTGAATGAACGTCGAATCAGCCACTGAAGATATTGAACGTAATCGCTCTGGCTCTATACACTCTTTTGGGACGCCTGCTGTAGAAGATACGGCCGAGCGCGGGACACCATCTAGCCGTAGCAACAAGTTGCAGAACATGATTGCGGCTAGCCTGGCGGAGAACGAGGACTTGGTATGTCATCAGTTCTCATCCACCGTTCGAATATCTTACTCTCAATAGCATGCGGAGCAAGAACGCCTGACTGCAGACCTCACTGCGTCGCGCGAAGATGTCTCGCGTCTTGTGGCCGAAAAGACTGCCCTGGCGAAACGAGCGAGCGAGATCAAGGACGCGAGCAGACGCATCTTCGCCTCGAAGTCCAATAGGTTAATACATCTCTCGCATACGCACAGACTCGCCCGACTGAAGCTCTTATAGCCTCTCTGAGCTTCAGTCCAGCCTTCAGAGGCTTGATACGCAGTCTCGCAAAAGCTTCCCTTTAGCGTCGGAGACCCGCGATGCTCTCTCTCTCTTGCAAAACCTTCGCGCAACCGTCAAGGAGGGTATAGACAGTGAGCACATTCATCACAATCAATCTCGCTCAAAATGCTTATTCTTGGTCAGAGATGAACGGGCTCTTCAATGAGGAGGGTAACCTGTCGAAGGTAGCCGATGCTCGCGCGGTGCTCGCGGAAATCCAGCGAGAACGCGACAGCAGTCCGTTCCTTACCGTGAATCTAGCCTGCTCGATGTCTTACGTATAAATAGGCCTCAATGCCTGCGAACTCGCTCGCAGTCGTTTGGCCGAGTGCACCTCTCAACTGACCGTCGCGCACGAACGTATCCACGAGCTCGAGTCTCACGTCGCGTTCAACGTCGCCGCTCTCCAGCAAGCAAGCACTAATGCAACAAATGCTGGTATGAAGACGTGTCTTACGACAATTCATGCCGCTGAATTTGTTCATAGAGGCGCATCTCAATGAGGAACGGGTGAAGAATAAGCAGCTGCATTCGGAGAATGTCGACACTCTTCTTGCTCACGCTCAGGCTGAAGACGAGATCGGACGCTTGAACGAGAAGTGAGGTTGATCGTACTCACTACTTCGCTGCGGCTGACCAACCTTCTAGAGTGACTGTTATCGTCGCCGAGTTAGAGAAGACATGCGAAGCTATGAAGGAGCTTGACGAGCTTCGACGCGAGTTCGTTCACCTGTGGCAGGCTCTCCTCCTTCATATATCTAACCGACGCGCAGAAACGCCGAATTGAGAGCAATCCAGAGCAGCGATCTCACCCGCGCAGAGCGCGACAAAGAGCTGCAGGCCTTGAAAGCACAGTAGGCCTTCCTATCTACTTTCGGCGATGATGATATTGATTTCTGCAACAGCATTGAGTCCTCCTTGGCTACATCCTCGCACGAAAGAACCCACACCTCTGAACTCAAGATGGAGCTTGCCTCGCGAGACGCAGAACTCGCTGGCCTTCGAACGCGCGTCGAGGACGTTTCCGCGCAACTGTCTTCAACACAGGCAGCTGAGCGCAGATTGAAGGATGATGTACAGCTTGCAGTTGAACGGGAGACCACTGCTCGACTCGTTCAGGAACGGCTGGCGTCGGAGGCTGCTGCAAAGGATGAGGCGGTAGCGAGGCTCGAAGGAGCACTCTCTTCTTCGCGCGAGGACGCTGAAGCTGCTCGGGCAGAGGTGGCTAAGATGCATGGGTATGCGGAGACGACACAAATGCGGGTCGATGAACTGCTGGTCGAGCTGAAGACAGCGCGCGACGAAAAGGACGCCGTCCAGACGCGCCTGTTGGGTATGGACTCGGTGCACGCGACTGCTCTCGATGCCGCGATCACCAAGCATACTCAAGAGGCCATCACTTTGTGCGAGCGTGTCGCCAATCTCACCCATGCTCTCGAAGAAGCCAAGTCCGAGCTGGGTGCGCAGAAGGTCGAGCTCGCTACAGCTCGGGCTGATGCCGAGGCGGCGCGCAGCAAAGCCACCCAAGCGGATGCGCGCGTCGGCACGATACAACAGCGCTTCGACGACCAGGCTGCAACGCTCAAGCTCTTGCGCGATGCACAGGCAGATCTTCAAGAGCGTCTGGCAGACGAGCAAAAGAGGCACGCCGTGGCACTCGGGAAGGCGGAGGGCCAGTATACGAAGGAGACCGCCGTTTTGGTTGAGCGTGCGGACAAGCTATCGTCGGCATTGGAGGAACGCAAGGCCGAAGTGACGCGACTCGCGGAGGAGCTTGCCGTTGCGCGAATTGATGCCGATGATCGTGTATCCACCGTTCGGGAGGCGGCTGAGAACCAAGCTGCGGATGTGCAGGAGAAGTTGCTTGCAGCGAGTGAGGCTCGCGGACATGCGTTGCATACTGCCGAAGCCGCGCAGGCGCAGCTTCACAAGGCGCAAGCTGAGCTTGCGGCTGTGCGTCATGAGCGCGGAGACGTCGCTGGCACACTGGAGGTTGCGCGGGCCGAATGCGCTGCACTACGCAAAGCGATCGAGGATTTGCAGGCAGAGAAGACGGTCCTTGTCGAGCAACGGCGTACAATGCATGTGAGGTACAAGTCGAACGATCTTGTACGTGTCATCCTTCAACTGTCCTGACTTTGCACGGCCGTTGTTGACCTATTGCTATAGGGAGAAGAGGAGAAGGCTTTCGTAGGCACTTTGCTCGAGGAGTGTCAAGCGTCGCACGAGAAGCGTCTCGCGGAGAAACAGAACGAGCTGCGTCGAGTTCGTTGACCTGAATCATCACTTTTGTGTAAATTCAGCGCTAATCTCCCGCATTTTAGCGCGCGAACATCGTTACCACCCTCGAAACCAAGGTGAAAGATCTCGAGCAAAGCTTCGCACAATCGGTCAAATCAGAGAAGAACTGGAAGCGTAAGTTCGAGACGCTGCAGCAGTCTGTCGCGGATAACGCTGCGGCTGCTGCATCGGCCTCAGTACAACAAGTACCTCCCGCGCCATCGCCTGCCGCTCAGTCTATCATCGACATCAAGCGATTCGCGCCGCCATCCTTAGGGGTTGATTCACCTTCTGGCCTTGCAAACGAGCTCGCGAGGGACCCGGAGGTGAGCGCAGCGCATGGACTGCGTTTGGTGAGCCTACCGCCCTGTCGCTTCCGACTCTATCATCTTTCTCACGCACTTCGTAGTTTGACGCAGATCCACTCAACTCGCCGCCTAGTGAATCCGCAACTTCGAAGCGTCCTGCCGCGGTCGCGGGCCCCACTCGTGCTCGTCCGAAGCCGAAAAAGCCCGTTGTGGAATCAACTATCTCCCCACCCCTCGCGTTCACAGCCGCCGCTTCTCGTGCCCGCCCGGCTCGTCCATTGAAATCCAAACCGTCCGATGCAAACAAGCCGGGGCCATCTGGCAAGGCAACGTTCGGCGCCCTCGGCGCCCTCGATTTGGATTCATCTCCGCCGCAGGGAAAGAAGCCCACACTCGGCAAACGACCGCGCGCAGACTTTGAGGAAGGTTCGTCGCAAGGCGACGCGAGTGGACGCCCGAAGACGAGGCAGCGGTCTGCGGCAAAAAAGGTCGCGCGTGCATCCGGTGAAGGGAAGAAGGTGCGTCTGATCATTCCTAGACAGTGAGGTTGTTGACGGACGCGGCACGCCGTGTAGCACGAAAATGCTCAACCTGGACCCTCGACGCGCAAGCGCCTGCGTTGAGATCGTTACGTTTACGATCATGCATGTCTATCCTTCGTCCCGCTCTCGTTGTGTCTTTCTCGCCTGGTCTCTTCTGTTCTTGAGCCGCCTCATGGACGGTTTGCTCTCCTCATGACGAACTGTTTTCTTGTACACTCGGATCCTCTGCTGTCCCTTGCTCTCTCGCATACGCTTTCGACCCTGTTTGTTAGTGACCGGCTTTGTTGTTAACTCTGATCCTTTCGCAAGACTGCGTTTCCGCGAGTGTGTATGTTATGCTGTACGGTGTCTGCCAATGTTACTCTCGGAGGGATGATGGAGTGGTAGCATATCCAGATGATGCTGCGAAAGGGACCTACAGCGTGTGGGGAGTAATATGTTCATTGCCGTTTTGCGTCCGCGGCTAGAATCCAGCATACACTGCGGTGCTACATCACCTGCAGCATTCTTCGAATGGTTAGTGCGGGATCTCGTGATACCATTCGCTATCCCGTTGGAAAGGCTCACTGAATCCTGCATGGTATCCTTGTCATTGTCTAGAGTGGCCTACGTGATCCCATTCGAGCTTCTATGACCCTCTTATCATCATCGCTCTAAGGATACGTTTCTGATTACAATTAATATTGGTCAGAATCCATCGTTATTACATGTTCGAAGAGACGCTCTTCTTGTCATTGGAGTATCTGAATGCGCGGCCGACAGCGTTGAGATACGAACCAGACGATCACGAGTATCGGGTAACCTCTGAGAGGCAATGAGAATCTGCAATTCATGGAGACGCGAGCCATGGAAACGAGAGCAGTTGCTTGCGAGGCTGACATAATGGTCAAGCGATCATCTGTGGAATAAATGCGAGACGTGTAAGTTGTACCGGCTATGTGGCGCCTTTTCCCACGCTTCTACATTTATGTCGTACAGTACCTTCTCCACTTACTTATTCGTACGTCGATGGCATAGCCTCTGTCTCACAGTGATATCCCTCCCTCTTCCTCTTCTTCCATAGGCGCAGTGTGCGCTATCTCTTCTCCTTGCATCAGACTTGCTAATGATCCTTCTGCAGGCGCAGAAGTTGGCGGTGGTGGGTCATGTACACGTTCTCCTGGTAGTGTATAATGACTGGAGGGAAGAATGACACCCTTCTCAACGAGTGCCAGCTTCAGCATAGTAATGCGCTCCTCCTGCGAGCCTCTACCACGTAAACGTTAGGTGGGGCTCCCTTCAGATCGCTGCAAAGGTGCATACATCGTCGTCTCATTCTCAGATACGGCTTCCTTGATATCATCGTCTCCTGGATCTTCGCGCGCAAAAGAGTGCAACTCATCCTGCGTCTGCTTGAGATGCTTGAGCGAGTTTTGTAACCGGGCGATCTCTGAGTGCCCGGTCAATAGACGCGTTATAGGATGCACAGGGGCCTCGCACCGTCTGCTATGACGCCAGGTTCGAGCTGGACGGCCTCATGCAGTGTGAATGGTTGAGGGTACTTTGGATGAAAATCCATGGTGGTGGAGGTCGAAAGGAAGAAGCGGACTCCGGATATGTGGCCCGAGCTTGCCACAGCCTGCCACTTTCCCAGGCCTATCCGAGAATATTCCAATCAAATTGGGAATGCATGGCTGGACAAAACTATTCCGGTAGAGTATGTAGCTGGCGTATGCGTCTATAAGACGACGGCAAACGTATGGTAGATGGAAAGTACAGATGCTGTCTATAGCGTCCAGGGAAAGAATAAAGCTAGGAGAATTAGACTGCATGTAGGTGGTCAAAGCGATGGGACGAAGAGCGATGCGAGGAGCTGTAGAGCCGGCGGAAGCAACCAAGAATAAAGAGAATACTGCTATGATACACCGAGCCTGCATACGCATAGATCAGCACAGGGACATGGTAATATGACAAGGCAAACGACGTACTTCTTCTTGCTCTGCTCGTAAACGACGTATGAGATCGAGACTGACGGCACGACCTTTGCAAGTGTGGGGAAGAGACCGCGATAGAAGCCACGCCACCCATCCCTTGCATACGTCTTGTACACGACGTCCATGGGACCAGTATAGCGTTCGGGATGGCCGCTGCTGCCGCTCGCTTGTAATCGTGTGCGCACGAGATTGAGAGGGTAGACGCTCGTTGCACCAACGGAACCCGAGAGCGAACCGAAGGCCAGAAGCGCGAGTACGCCGGGCTCATCTTTGCCCGTACTCCGTAGATACGCGAGTTTAAGCGCCTCAAATGTGCTCATATCGATGGCGCTATAAGGAAACACGCCCACAAGGCCGATCGCCAGGCCCCGGTAATATGCGCGCACACCACCCAACCCCCACAACGTTTTCGCAGCGCTGACTAATGTCCGTTTCGTTTCGCCCGTTGAACTCATCATCTGCGTTTTCAGAGTCTCAATGGGATATATACCTATGGAAGTCGTTTAGCCGGGTTATCGAGCTATGCCGGAGGAAGTATACATACTCAATTGACTGGTGATGCCACCCATTCCTCCACTGATAAACCTGCTGGAACCACTAATGTCACGCGAGTCCTCAACGTGGTCCACGTATTTCGCGAAGAAACGTTTCTATACGAGGATCAGTACTGAGAATGGCAGCGTAGTGTGTGTTTCAGCTCACTGAAGACTCGTATGAGAAGAACTTGATCGCGCTCTCTGGGAATATCTTCATGACAGAAAGACCGTTGCCGACCCAGAAGGCGCGTACGCCGCCTTCTGCATAGATACGAGCGACTGCTCCGGCTATAGCTTTCAGGCCTTGCACTGGTGCGCCGGTCGCGCCGGTGCCGCCTAGGTCTGGTGGTCGCGTTATGAGGAAGATCTTCAAGCGGTCGAAGGGTGCGGTGCACGTCCGGCTGACGGCACCAGCAATCCCGCCAGCCATGAGATACTTCAACGAGCTGGCTACTTCGAAGGTATGCTGCTCCTCGCCGCCCTGGTCCGACTCCGAGTCTACGTCTGACACAGTTCCCGAGGTGACTGGCGCGAGTGGAGGTGGCCTGTCCTCCGCACTGAGTGTGACGTCTCCCTCCATAGTGACGCGTGCTGCGCCCTTTCCGTCCTCTCCAAGGTATTTCCGGACCTGGTAGTAGCGGTATATCTCCTTCGGGTTGACCTTGCGCGGCAGCAAGAGCAGGAAGTCGCGAAACTCGCGAAAGGAGATGGCGCGCGAATGGGGGCTTGCGGTGAGGTATGTCATGAACTCGGAGAGCGTCGCCGGAGTTAGCTCGATGCCGGCCCTGGACAGTGCAGATGCGACTTCGTGCGCCTCGAGCCGGCCATTGCCGTCGCCGTCGAGTTCGTCGTGGAAGATATGCCAGAGCTCCTCCTCCTTCTCCAGGGCGTAATCCCGAAAGTCCTCCCAGCCGATGGTGTTCGGGGCCGAGCCCTTTGAGCGATGCCCGTTTCTGCACGAGGCCAGCAGCTCGCGCACGTAGGCCTCCCGCATCTTGCGCGCCTCCTCGCGCGTCACCGCCTCGGGGCCTTTGGCGCCCGCCCGCGCTTCCACGGCGCCAGCCTGCGCCTGCTGGATCAAATCCGGGAGTCGGTGCCAGAGCTCCTTCAGCTGCGCCTTGCGCACGTCGTGGCCCTCGCGTTCTCGAAACTCGTCCAGGCTGTGCGACGCCCGCTCGGACCGCGGCGGGTCCGAGCGCAGGTGCGGCAGCCGCGGTCGGTCCTGCGCCCCGGCGCTGACCCAGTTGAAGACTTCGCTGTTCGACTCGGCAGAATCGTTGCCAGACGCCGAGGATGACGATGAGGGCGATGGGCGAGACATGGATATAGACGAGGGACGCGCTGGGCTGCGTGTCCGAGGGTATTATGAGGGCAGGGAGCCGCGTAAGGGCATGGGTGAGCTCAGATGGTGGACGTTACTTGCTGTGTCCGCCTCAGCAGGAACAACCAGCACCATGCCGCAAGCGCGTCATCTTCCGTCCCATCACCTCGAAACGGCTCAAAACACCGCCCGCCATTGGTGGACGCAACAAAGCTTTGCGCCGGCCGTTCTGTGCCACACTCTTTGAAAATGTCCGCATAAGGCCATACCTGCGATCACTGAGACATCTCTGTCTGCACGTCTACGGTGTTCTACAAGCTAGCACGGGGCATGGTTGGCCGTAGTTTATAGACAATACACGCCGGTTCCCTCTACGACTCTCCACAGTACTTGACCTTCAACCCCATCCAGGCGCCGTGGTGACCATCTGCCATGGGGGGCATGCCTGGCGTCGGCGTGCGCCTGATAATATTCTCCTTCGTCTGCGGGGGAAGCGCAAACTCAAAGTTCTCGACGAGCGTCGCAGCGATGGCCTGCATTTCGAGAACGGCGAATCTCCATCCGATACATGCACGGACCCCAGCGGCTTGAAGTGCATGTGAGCTACGAATCACTCCAAACTCAAAGGAGTGCAGGCGTACAGAAGACGAGCAGGTTCGCGTACAGTCCGACGGACGTCAGGTCCTTCTTGCTGAGAGTCGTGAAACGATCCGGGTTCCACTCGTTTGCGTCGGGGCCCCATACCTCAGGGTTGCTGTAGACGCAGTTTTAGCCCTTCTTCTATGTTGAATGACGAAAGCACGCACCGCTGGTATGCGGCTATACATATATCAACGAGCTGGCCTTTCTGAACCGGAATGGAGGATATCAACTCTCCCGACACGCTCTTGATCGGGTGCGCGAGGGGTATCACGTCGTCTTGGCCCGCCTCCCGCTCGATCATCCCAACGATTGGGTGAAGTCGCAAAGCCTCCTTCAGTGTCATTTGCATGACCGACATGCCCTCGAGATCAGCAAGAGAAAACCCGGATTCGCCGCGGTCGGTCAGTTTACGACGTGCCGCGCGGATTTCGTCACGAACGCGCGTCTGCCATGCCGGGTAACGCGCAAGCTCCCAAAGCCAGTAAGTCAAGGATGAAGATGTCGTATCGTGTCCGGCAATGATGATATCACTGAAGGTCACCATTGAGCCTAGCACTTGAGATATCTTAACGGATACTCACGAGATTTGGTCAACGAGCTCCAGGTCGCTGAGCTTGAGCTTCGGATCTTCCGCCCCGTTTGCACGTAGCAACACGCTCATCACATCCTTCGCCGCCGCCTCAGTGTCGACCTGGGACTGCGCGATGAGCGTGCGGCCGAACCTGCGGATGTAATCCAGATAGACCCGAAAACGGCGGGCCTCGCGATTGGGCAGATAGCGCATGAACCAGAGCACATCGGGCGGGATATACTTTGTGATCGTGCGAAAGACCAGATACCAGCGTGCAGGGTGTAGCATCCCGTCGATACTGTGGATACGATGAGAACTGTAGGTCAATGAAAGACTCGAAACGCACAAAAGTCCCTCATAGGCTTTACTAAGCTCGCTACTGGCATTGTCCAGAGAACCAAATTGAAATCCGAGGCCCGCTGTGGATAGTATGTTGAAAAGTGACTGATCTGAACGACACCATGCTCACCGTCACCAATAACATCGAGCGTGGTTCGGGAGAGCCATGAATGAACGTTGATGACGGGTTCAATGGCGCCGATCCCGGGAGTGATCTCCTCTTCCTGCCACTTTCGTACAAGCTACGAAGCTCAGTTAGGCATGCAGCCCATGCAGTGATCTGAGGCTTGCACGAACCTTCTCCGCGTAACCAAGAAAAAGTGGCACGAAGGACTTGAGTTGTGGGACAGAAAAGGCTGGGTTCATGATCTTCCTGTGACGACGATGCTGTTCACCTGTATAGTATCAGTATCGCGCGGGAAAACCCTCTACTTGCGGTGCAAACCTTCAACCCAGATGATCCCGTCGCCAAGAAATGCACGTAGCTCGCCGCGCGCTGCAGCAGCCTTGGGGTAACGATATCCGGAAGTTTGAAGAACGTACTGCAGCCCTTTTGCATCTGCAAGCATGAGACGATCCGTCTACAGTCACAATCAGCATACTAGACAGACGCGGCTCGAGTGGCTGAAACGAGTGCATACACCGAGACCGCCGTGCGCCTTCCAGGCGCCACCAAACTCCCTGAGCCATTGAAATTCCACGTCGCCAACTTCTTCCTGATATTTCAAGTCGGCCTGATTACCTGAAGATATATTAGCCTCTTTCTCTGAAGTTCATCGTCGCCGATAGTACTGATGCAACGAACCCAACCAAAAAGACGTGCGCGGTGGTCCGCGGATGTTCTTGAGCGAGGGTCCACGAAGGTAGCGAATAACGACGATTGAGAGGAAGAGAGCACCGGCTGCGAGGCAGCCCAGTGGATAGGGATTGATATTGAAGAGCGCCATGAGACTCTCTGCTCTTTTGGTTGCCCGTGCTTTATACGTCGAAGACTACAAATTCACAACTTGAAGGCAGTGACATTGCGGGCCGAGCGCAGGGCACTCTAGCCAGTCAGCGCTGGCATGACAGAACTTGGCTTGGTCGATGCGAAGCACATCAGTGCGATGCAGCAGCTGGCAACGGGGATCTGTGAGCGATAAGGGGGAAGAAGAGCAGCCGAGGATCAGAGAAGGCATATAAGTAGTAAAACCCCTGTACGGGAGGGTCGGAATACCGGGCATATGAAGGCCGGATGGTGTTCAACGGTTCGTCATCGTCGAGTATTGACAAGTGCAACGCTACGCGGGCTTCCCAGCGGGGTAGGCCACCAGTCCAGGATACCGAGGACGTCACTGCACCCCCAGCCGCAATCAGACTCGAAGCAGCTCGGTACGTGGGGTATAGGACTCGGAGCGAAAGTGCGGAGAGGGGAAACGGACTAGAAGTACAGTATTGCTCACGCTCAGGCGTGCTCATCATGTCAAGAGCCAAGTGTCGGAAGTGATGTGAGTCAACGCGTTGTACGGTCGGGAACGATCAAGTCAGCAGGTCTCACGGCCGCCTGCAGACGTCGTGCCTTTCGTTTCCGACGTTGGTCACCACCACCAGCGCTGCGCGTGCATCATTGAGTAGCCAGCCCATCTCTTGACTCTCGCTGCAGACTCTCGCTGCAGGACGCCGTCAGAGTCTGCTAGCTGAAGCGACTGTTCTTGGTATCTCTTGCGTTCGTAGGTCCCCCACGATTATCCTAGTCTCGTCTAGTACGTGCGATTCGGCTTGCGAAATTGCAACCCGAAGGTCAAGCAATAACTAATAGTGCCTGCATCGAGAGCGCCATTGCGTCTCGAGCGCATACGTCGGCGTTAAGAATGTGTGAGTATGGGGTGACGTTCGTCATCTGCGCAACATGGTTGCATAAACAGATAGTCTGTGAGGTTCAGGATCTTGTCCGCGTACTGCCGCAGATTACATAGCAGCATAGCAGGACAGATATTGCGACTTATGTCGGCGTTAAGCGCGTTTGACCCAATCACTCCCTATCGCGAAAGAGAGCGAGAGACGCATGCCTTGCACATCCAGTCTTAGAGTATCGCGCTCGTGCCTTCTATAAAGGTGGCGGCTCCTGCTGGACGCAATCTCAGCGGCGTTGAATCGACACTCTTGATTGATATTTGAACACTCTGTCAACCACGCCCGCGTCCGTATTCCTCACAGTCAGTACTGGTGTGTACTTGAGACCGAATCCGTACCCCGACGACGATACACTCGCTTATCTGACGTATGCACATGTAGGCCTCATCGGTGCTTCAGTCTTGCAAGCCATTGCCAAGGACCCCAACTACATTGTCACGGCCCTCGTTCGTTCCGAAGAGAAGGCCACAAAGATAACCGAGCTTCTTCCTGGCGTCAAGACCATCGTCGGCTCGCTTGATGATGCTGAGCTGCTCACCGAAACAGCCTGCAAGTCCGATGTCGTACTGCAAATGGTCTGTCCCCTGCTTCGTAGTGCTGTGCTTCAAAGCCTCATTCATTTGACAGGCCGCCTTTCACCTCGCGGGCATCGGTGCTCCACTCGAAGGTGCGAAGAAGCGCGTCGAGGCGACTGGCAAGGCGCCGATCTTCATCAATACCTCTGGCACGGGCATCTGGGCCCACATCGCAGCCAATGGCGCTCCCCCATTGGGCAAAGTAACGAGATACACCGACACCGACCTCGTCGAAACGTTCATCGATTTACCCCATACACCTCCAACCAAGGCCGTCATAGAAGCTGCAGCAGCCGGATACGCCAAGGCTTTCACGAGTTACCCGTCAACTGTTTGGGGCGAGCCGGCTGGTCCATTGTCTGATAGCGGCGTAGCGCATATCGGCTCGATTCAGGTCCCAGCGGTGGTCAAGGCATCGATCGGTCGTGGACAGGGTGGCGTTGTAGGCGAGGGCCTCAATGTCTGGAATCACGTTCATATCGCTGATAGTACACATACACGATCGGGCCACGCGCGACATGCTTTGCTAACTTCTGCTTTCAGCGACCAAGTTCTATGTGTTACTTCCTGCGAAGGCCGTTGACGGTTCTGCGCCCTCCAGAGCGGCTGAAGGACGTTACATTCTCGAGAACGGCTTATACCAGTACCTCAAGCCCGCGCAAATCGACACCGAGGCCCTCCGTGCTAGGGGTAAGTCCGCTTCATCAAAGCTAAGCAAATTCAAGCAGGAGTTCGACGCCAGCTCCTTTCTTTTCTTCTTCGGCGCGAATTCGACGACTGCGAGTCCTCGCTCGCGTTCAATAAGCTGGGCACCTAAGTATACCACCGAGGACTTCTACGATTCTGTGCCGAAGGAAGTAGACGTCCTCTCCGGCAAGCGTAAGTTGTATCTGGTCATGTCATAGAATGCAGAAAGGCGGGAAATAGTAGTACAGGCACTAGTAACACATTCCATCAATCTTACACCAACAGGGATTCTAATAGTGTTCATGATGATGGATGGAATCGAGGAAGTGAATAACGTATGCAACGAATACGGCGAATAACATAAAAAGCAAACCGAACGTATGATCAATCCAAAGAACGCCAGTGATGAGCGCATAAGCGCTCAACACCTGTCCTATCGCGGTCCTGGTTGATGATGATGGCCAGAAGGCTGTGCTGGTCCAGGCGGGACTGCGAGGAGCTTGGTCAGCCACCATGGCCCAGAGTTGCTTGCAGACGACTGTTGAGGGCGCTCACAATTGTACGTGTAGTTCGGCAGCGGAACCTGCGGAAGTTCGTTGATACTTTGCCAGAACGCGTCGCCGAGCATCGCGTCGTGCCCTCCCAGGCCGAACGCGTTCTCGAAGCCGAAGTTGAAGTCGTTCAAACTGCTCCCGCCACCGAGAGCGTCTGATGACGGCCCTGGAAAGGTACCCGCCATTTCTACAGGTGTCGGCATCGTCGCGTCGGTGCCGGGCGTACTGCCACTCGAAGTCCCCATCCCATCGCGCGGCAGCTGGAGCTCTCCCGTACCCGATTGCGCACTAGACGCCGCGACGTCGGCGTCATACTGCGCTAGACGCTTATTCCACGCTTCAAGGAAGTCTTGCATCACTCTCGCACATCGCGCGGCAGGGTGGTCAGGGCCAGTTGCGACGTGGTTGAGAACCGCGATAGACCGGTCGAGTAACTGGTCCGTACACCCGGGGATGCGCCGTTGGTTTTGCGATTTCAGCATCATGACCTTGGACATGACCAGGAATGCAGCTGCAAAGGCGACCATACTGAAGAAGGCGTCTGGGGCCGTGGCAAGCAGGTCTTTATCCTGCACCGACAGGAGTGTCGCGAGCGTCCCATCTGATACAATGAGGCACACGCGGGCGCATTTGATCGCATGCATGGCGCCTGTGCGGCGAAACTTGGCTTGCAAGAAGCCGTTGGAGCAGGTGGCTTTGGGTACGTGCGTGCGCAAGAGGCGAATGATGTGCACGAGGACGACGAGGCGGCAATTGTAGAAAAAGACTTTGAATATTTGCAGCCAGAATGTATCAAAGTCCGAAGCGACGGGTAGCCCGATGAAGATGCGCTCGAGAATCTCAAAACGCATGGAGAGTTCCGTCAGGTCATCATAGAACGCGTCATATTCGTCGGGATTGTCGGGCATCTCAAACCGTAGACCTTTGTCGGCGAGTTGGAAGATACGGTTCATGACGAGCATGCGGGTGCGGCGGACGTTCTCGAGAGTGTCCGAGAGCGTTCCGAAGCGCTTCATGTCGATATCTTCGGCAAGCGCTGCGGTCAGCGGGCGACCAGTCCCTATGCAGGCCTTCGATTCGACCACGCGGAGGAGCATCCAGACGTTACAGTTGTTCATGAGCTGCGGATAGTCGTTTGCTTCTTGTACGGTGAGCTGACCGCCCTTGACGAGGCGCTGCTGTAGGGCCAGTGCACGATCCTCCGACTCGTGCAACCCGAGCGTACGCCCCATGGACACGGCAGAAGCGGCGATGAGCCTACTATCGTGACTGCCGGCCGACGAGGGCGGGAGATTGTCGAAAGGAGACCACAGACTCAGGATGGCGAAGGCCTGGACGACGGCCATGGTGGGCGTCGGGTTGAAGACGTGCTGCATGATGACCTGCTCGACGAGGTGGCGCATAGGGGGAAAGACCTGGGCGCGAGCCAGTGGTTCGAGATGCCGACTGGCAATCGTACATCGGACGAGGTCGAGGATTTCGTCGTCGACGAGGGCGTGAGCGGGCAGCGACAGCCAAGGCTCGTAGTGCTTCTCAAAGCTGAAAGCCATGAGTCAGCGGACCAGGGGCCGGGGTTGGGGGTCCGTGTGGGACACTCACAAGGTGAGGAGCCAATGCTTCTGCTCGTTTGATAGGACGTCTGCGAGACATGAGGCGGTGCCGGAGTATTTTGGAAACGAGTCGGGACAGGCCTGGCGGGAGAGGATGCGCATGCCGAGGATGGGCGTGGCCGTCCAGTCTGTGAGGCCGGGTATGGTCAGAAAGTCCCAGGGGGACTCGTCGTCGTCGCTGGCCGAGCTGCCGTTCTCGATCCCCGTGACGTCTGGGCGGTGCGCCTTGGAGGTGGCAAGGAGAACTTTGGCCGTGTTTTGGCGGATCTTGGACAGCGGCTGGGGGTCGTTGAATACGATCGAGCGCGGGGCGTCGGTCTCGAACGAGCACGGGATGGAGAGGACCTCGCAGCGATGGCAGCGGGCGATGTAGCTCGTCGAGTCCAGCAGCTCGCATCGCGTCTTGTGTTTCCTGCAGCTCGCGCAGGCCTGCCGATTCCGGCGGTCAGTGGACATGGTCGACGTCGAATAAAGAGTCGGATTACCTGGCTGCTCTTCGGCCGGCGCGTCGCCTGGCGTTTGGCGCTCGGAGGTTGTGAGCCTGCAGAGTCCTGCTGCTGGTTGGGCTCAGAGGCGTCCCGCGACCGCTTGGACATAGCGTTGATGATGCAAGCTTTCCGAGAGACGCGATGCGTCGGGATCTTACCGACGGCACGGAACACGGCCACTTCGGCCCGGTCCTCAACTATTTCTGGCCGCCATCATTCGTCGATACCCTCGAGTGACCATGCCCATCGCCGGGCTCGACATTGAGCGCGAAGAGCTCGCGGATGAGGTAGCAGGTGAGTGTGTGATATCGTGACGGTCCATGCCATACTGAGCTCAAAAGTCTTGCAGTCTATATACGGCGATGAAGCCATACAATCCTGGACACCCGCCACAGAACACGAGCACGCCGCGTACGGCGCCAAAGAGGGCGTGGTGCGATATCAAGTCAATCTGAGGTATGTTTCCGTGCCCTTCTCCCGAGCGGCGGGGTAAACGACTCAGTCTCTCGCCTCCCCATCAAGACGTCTCCCTTCGCATCCTCGTCTCCCTCCCGCCGACCTACCCGTCGTCCTCGCCGCCTCAACTCCAATTACTGTCTCGCTACATCGGCGCGTTCGGCGTAGATGCCGAGCTCTTCGGCGCCGTCTTGAAGACGTACATATCTATCGCAGGCGTCGAGTTCGCTCCCGACGTCGTCTGCGTCTTCGATGGGCTCTCTAACGTTCTCGAGCGCGTAGAACGTTGGTACGAAGACAAGCTCAGCGCAAAGGCCGTGGGCGAGTTACTTCGAGACTCTGGTCGCGCCGACGACCCAAATCCGAACCAACGGGCGCCCGTTCTTCCTGCGCCACAGCTGGATCGCCTGCCCGCCGCTCTACCTCCGGGCCTGCAGCTCATAGAAGCGGAGCCCATCGTCGATCGCAAGAGCGCATTTGTAGGACGCGCATGTAGGATAACGGACCCGGCTCAGGTGCCCGCAGTGCTCGGGTACCTCATGGCCGACAAGCGTATAGCTAGGGCCGCACACCCAATCATCAATGCATGGCGATGTCAGGTTGGGAGTGTACTGCATCAAGGTAGGCCAAAGCTGCTCGGCTTTATATCCCCAGTGGTAATCATCACTCAGATAACGATGATGATGGCGAAACGGCTGCAGGAGGGCGTCTTGCACATCTGCTACAACTCCTCGTGCGTTATTAGACCCTGACCCTCCTCCTCCTCCTATTGATAATGTGAGCGCAGGATATCAAGAACGTCCTCGTCATTGTCACGCGTTATTACGGCGGCATCCTGTTGGGCCCGGATCGGTTCAAACACATCAACCAGGCAGCAAGAGACGCACTTGTACTGGGCGGTTTCTTGGACGAGAAGAAGCCTGATACAAAGGGTAAGGGTAAAAAATGAACTGATGTACGCTCATGTACATCGAGTCGCTTGTATTGCATGTGGTCTCTTTCATGACTCCGTTGTCCACTCAGACTTTGCGAGCGTCACGAGCTACCGATATTTTGATTCCTACCTGACAGCTTGATGGAGCCAAAGGTAATAACCATCAACCCGATTCAGGGAAGACAAGGCAGGACATCGCCTCGGGTGAACGTTCAGACGTCCGGCGACAGTAGTGGTGACCGTGGCCCGGATCGAATGGCTGACAACCAGCGTTCCGGTCGGAAAAGGGACCGAGAGGTGGCGTCTGCGTTATCTGGTTGTGCGCGCCGTCTTGCGTCGCTGGGAGACTAAGCTTGTATGTTCCATCTTATGTATTGCATCGCTTGAGTCTCATCGAATATGGATGATTCGAACAGATCAAGCGCAACGTCCACTGCTGGTATTTGTCACAGTGCATTGACACGCATTTACAGAACGTGCCTCGTTCCACGCGGCCGCGCCCTCCGAATCCCAAACGGGCACGCTTCGTCCGCGGACGGTACCTTTCGCGGCCGTACTCGCATCTCCCATAATCGCAATGGTTATTTGACAGATACCGGGCCTGGGCGCGGTGTTAGTGGCATAACAACCCCCCTCAGTTGGACCTTCGAGGGCCAGCCGGGCTCGTGCCAGTTATAGCGAACGTTGAACAGCTCAAGTAGCGTTTGTGCAGACCAACATTTACGGTAAAGGAAGTAAAGGAAGGACCCGCACTCAGTGCTACCGGCTATGAGTCAATCTACTCACCTTATGCAAAGGTAACAGTCAGTGGCCGGAATTGCGAGACCTTTGCCGTCAACCGCCGTAGTGAGATGGGGTTGAGCCTCCCGGCGGCCTCACGATCAGGTACTCCAGAGTCGGCGCCGGTGGTTGCCTGACTCGTCTACTTTAAATATCGCGCGCGTCACAGTGGGAGAACGGCTTTTCTGCTGCCCATGTATCCATAGCTCAATACAAACCCCGTTGCGTCTCCGGCATGAGCGAGTTGACAGTGACTGTGGAGACCTACCATCAAGTGTGCGTGTGCGCGTACTTCTGTAGCGCTTCTTCTCTAACAAGATTGTACTTCTAGATGGTTCAACTACGCATTTGGCATCTCCGCTGTCGGTGCGCAACCAACACGTTTCGGCGTTCGTCCAGGCTTGACAATCTACATCCAGTTCTTGTAGGATATGACTGGCTTCTCACATTGGGAGACGAAATCAGATATATCTGGCACAAGCGGAACACAGCCGCGTATCTCTATATCGCAACGAGATACGTAGGCGTGATGGCCTACGGACCGGTTGCAGTCTCTATCTTCGCGAAAGGGTTCACGGAGTCGGTGCGTTAGCATGACCTACGACTTGGCCTATTTCACTAACGTACTTGCTCAGCAATGCTCCATACTGACGGATATTCACCTGTATGCGTCCATCATCATCCAGGCGCTGACTGCTGGTGCGTTCTTCTTACAATGATCGATTGACCGGGAGCTGAAGCCTGATTGCACCCAGCCGTGTTCATTCTGCGCATACACGCACTGTATCGTAGTCGCCCCATACTGATACTACTCGTCCTCATCTGTATCATTGCTCTAGCAGTGGCAATCGTGAGTGTGACCCATCTCTCACCGGCTGCGTCTGACTCGCCGTCAGGGTTTGCTGGCTGTCCCCTTCCATGCCGAGGTGGTCTACGCGACCGCAATGCCGGGATGTAACAAACTGTCGACGACTGCTGAGTATGTCGAGACCTTATTGTCCTCGCACCTCAACCTAACAAAGATTGCGAACGTTTCGTAGGGGAGTCCGTGCGTATTCTTGTGTCCCTATACCTAGCATACCTCGACTAACACCCACAATTGCATATAGGCTACGCGATTGTCTGGACTAGCGTATCTGTATTCGATCTTGCCATAGCATATCTCACCCTTGTGAAGGCTTTGCGCGCTCACAGGCACAACTTGAGCGACCTGTGGTATGTTTTCATGCGCGATGGTGCGTTCTCCATGCCTCGTAGCTTCATCGCTACCTGCTAACAACGAGCGTAGGCTTCGTGTACTTTACGTCCGTCTCACTGGCTTCTCTACCTACGTCCGTGAACCTGACAGCATTCACTATAAGGATTCTTTTCATCTTCAACACAGCCAACATCCTTACTTTCGTGGTATGTGTTCATTCTTCATTCCGCCGGGATGTTTCCTGATGCCCCACTTAGCTTGCCCCGGTCAGTGGATGCGTATTAGAACACTGGATGCTCGTACTCATTGCATCGCAGCCGATTGTGAGAGGTGTGATCAGTCACTTTACGACCGCCCTCGAGGTCGTCCTTGTATGCAGGTACGCCACGAACCATAACATATGTCAAGCGTACTGAGATTCCCCGAGGATGATCCTCAATCTGCGTGTATCGGACGCCGAGCGACGTAGCGCGGTAGAGGCAGCAGTAGCCTCTGCCTCTGAGGCTGCCGGAGCGGTAGAGCTGCGTGTTGTTGTGCATACATCCACCTCGAGGTATGGGACACGATCGAACGGTGGGCAGGATGTGGTGTTGGACGAGCTTTCTTTCTCTGGGATGGACTCGGATAGACCCAAGGTCTCTATGTCTCATATACGTGGTCACGGTAGAGCTTTGTAGTGTATCATAGGGAGCATGTCAGGCAACTTGACATCGGGGTGTATTACAGGGGCGGACATGTCATCGTGAAGACAGGATCTGCATGCGGACGACGCGTCAAACTCATGCGCCACACAGCGCAGTGCGCGCGATCATTCGACCGGAAAGCAGCGGATGATCTTGCCGAAGACCACCACAACCGATTACACCGTCTAGTCCACCACGGTTATCCTCTCTGTTTCCACTGTTTCAGTGATTTACTCCCGCCATGCCTCACAAACGTGCGAAACGATCCACTCGAGAGGAGGTTCGCAAACAAAAGTGCGCCGACCGTGCTCGTTCAGAGCGCCACGCTCTTCTTCTTTGAAGCTGACACCAATATCGCCAGAGGATCCAACCTCGCACCTTCCAAATCCGATGGTATCAGCAACGAGAGCATACCCAAATCAGCTATGCGAGTCTTGCAAGCTGCTCAAATACGGGCGGACCACGCGAAGCGGAGACGCGAGAACGCCGACGAGGACGACGGGCGGAGTGCGAAGAGGCGAAAGCAAGAGGGTACGACCGGAAAGGGGAAGGAGAAGGCAAAGGTCGGCGGAGGGAGCACGGAGAAGAAGGGGGAGATGAAGATCCAGCCGGGCGAGTCGCTCGCGCATTTCAATCGGTGCGTCTCCTCCCGCAATCTTATATTTCTGATGCTCAACATCGCACAGGCGGGTCGAGGATGGTATGCGCGGAGAAGTCCGGGCTGCGATGCAGTCCTCGTCCGCTCACGGCCGCAAAGCCCGGAAACAGGAGGAGGAGGCAGCAGCCGCTACGAAGGCCGCGAATATTGCCAAACACGCCGCGAAAACTCAAAAACGTCCTGCCTCTCCCGACCCCGAAGACAACACATCCGCACCAGTAGACAAACATGCCGACAAGCCGAAAGAGTTTGCGAAACTGCAAACTACGGCTCCTCGTAATGTCAACGATATCGCTCAGGCGCCTCCCACGCTTTCTCTCAAAAAGGCAACAAAATTACAGGCTTCAGCGGGTCCAGAGGGCTTACGAGGCGGTAAGGCCGCAGGAGTATTGAGTATGGCACAGAGGGCAATGATGGAGGTGGAGCGCGAAAAGGCTATCAAGCACTACAGGGAGTTGAAGGAGAAGAAGCTCGCTGCAGCCCAAGCGCGCAGAGAACCGAGCGTTTGACGATAGTTTATCATATATCATTAGTATGTGTTATCAACAGTGTGTGTAAACTAGATCAGTATCCAGCATGGCCGGCCGTCTCGGCCCACTCCTTGCTGCCCATCTGCACCAAGCGAGAGCAACAGCGCGCGAAGGCGAATATTTCTTCCTCACCGCTGAACATGGAAGATGCGCCCACTACATCTGCAGAAAGACCCTGAGAGCAGGAGGGTCAGCTAAATCATGGCGAGGACAGAAGACACGTACAAGGTCATCCATGACCGAGCGCATGTGGTCTGAGACGCCTCCCTTTCCAGCATTATCGTCCGCGAAGATCTGGTATATGGGAACTTCGGATGATACGAAGAGTTTGGTCTTGCTCTCGTAGCATGCTGAAATAAAGTCAGGGCATGTCTCGTAGTACATTGCGGGGAACTTACCGTCAATGAAGGTGATGAACCGCCGCGCTTTATCCTTCTCGCCCAAACCCATCTTCTTCACGTCGACCAGAAAGACGGTGCCGAAGGCTCTGGTGATCTCCAGGTAGTCTGCGGCACTCAATGGTTTGCCGCACAAGGTATCAAAGTCAAACATGGCGACGTGTTCACTACTCTTGGGTACGCTGAGTTTACGGCCCCAGATGTCGAGTGTGCGGCCTTCGATAATCTCCTGATCCTTCGTCAGACCTTCGAATAGCTTGTGGATTTCAGACCGTGTGCTGTCGTCCAACGGCGAGTAGTAGACGTTGGAGAGCGAACGCGGGATACGACGGTAGTCTGTGCCGCTGTCGAGGTCCGTTACTGAGAATGCGGTCTTCAATAGGTCTATCGCGGGGATGAACGAGTCGCGATTGATGCCATTGCGGTATAGCTGATCCGGGTGTCGACTGCCATGAATGTCAGCGCGACACATGATGAGCCCGGCGACATAGAACGCACTTGGACGTGATGACCATCACGACGCCCTCATCAAGGAGCGTCTCCAGTAGCCGTCGGAGAACCATGGCATCTGCGATATCGGTAACCTGCGACGTTATTCGCATTCACAGAAACCCAATAGGAAGAGATTGCATACCTGGAACTCGTCAAAGCAGAGCACGCTCGCATCCTTCGCTAGCTCTCTTCCTACAGGTGCAATCGAGTCACCTCCCTCCGGACCTAGTCGTCTCTTCATGGCGTGTATACGCTTGTGCACATCGATCATGAACGCATGAAAGTGTACTCGGCGCTTCTTCTTGACGTTGGGCGGTAATGTCTTGAAGAAGAGGTCCATGAGCATGGTCTTGCCCGTCCCGACGTCGCCATATAGATAGAGTCCGAGGGGAGGTTTGGCAGGAGACGGCGCTGGTGCACTGCTGTGAAAGAAGCGAGAGAGCTATTGTGCCTGATTTGAGTCAGCTGCCCATTGTGCTCGCAGACGAGAGACAGACCAAGCCGAGACCTCCTTCGCTGCTCGGCGACTTGCGAGAAGTGGGCGCATAGTTCGCCAGCTGGTCGTGGAGATCCTGCAGCTTCTGCACGATCTTCACTTGGTAGTCGTCCGGCCGGAGCACGCCACGGTCGACCAGGCCATGGTACTCCTTCATCGGACTCGACCGCGCGTCTTCGTCTATAGTCCGCTGTTACCCGGTAAGGCCCAGCTCGCAGGAATAGATCTCACTCACGGACTTCAGCCCCAGCATCGGTCATCCGCTCATCTTCCATCTCCAACTCAGCAACCGCATCTCCCTTGTGCGTGCGTGCCGCGTCTACCTCCGGAGGTGTGCTATATGACCGAACCGAGATACGCGTGGGGATGTGGCGAGGAATAGGGTGTGCATCGCGAGAAGTACGGGCTGCACGGCTAGCTCCGGACAGTGTAGAAGTGGAGAAAGAACGAGTAGTGTGTGTAGATGCTACGGCCTGGCGCCGCAGGCCAGATGCCGCTTTCATGGGGGTTCGGGATGAAGTAATTGCGACAAGGCGTTTCGATCCGTTCAAGCCGTAATCACGCGCAAGCGGACCTACATGACAACAGACAGGTCCACACACTTTACCTAGGTTACCGCGGTTCCCGCAGAGCTCATGGTTTCAAAGCCGTGATCATAGAAGGTGGACATAGGTTGTGACCGACAGGAAAATTCATCGTACAGTACAGACCGATAGCTTTTTACACACAACGCCTACAGACCCAACCAAGTGAACGTGTCCTTCAGTTCAACTTCCGTCTTCAGCCTGATGTCACGCGAAGACGCCGCAACTTCGACCACGAATGTGCCCTTCTCCGCAACCCACTTGCCCAGACGCTCGTTGTAGTAACCGAGAGCATCGCGGTCAAACTGAAGCGTGGCCTTCTTGCTCTCGCCGGACTTCAGTGCGATCTTCGTGAAGCCCTTAAGCTCGCGGACGGGCCGTGGGAGCGTCGAGATGGGATCAGAGACGTAGACCTGCGCAGCCTCACGACCGTCTACGCTGCCAGTGTTCTTGACGGTGAAGGTTACCGAGAACTTGCCGTCGGCAGAAATAGGTGTAGCGGAGATATCGGAGTATTCGAAGGTGGTGTAGGAGAGACCGAAGCCGAAGGGGAAGAGCGGCTCGATGGATTTCTTGTCATAGTTGCGATAGCCAACGTAGATGCCCTCCGCATACAATATGCGTCCGGGGGACATGCCGTTAGGGCCAAAGTCAGGGTATGCGGGTGTATCTTCTATACGCTTGCTGAACGGATGTGAGAAAGATCTGAGCGTTATGCCTGGATGCGAGTACGTACGGGAACGTCAATGCCAGCTTGCCGGAGGGGTTTACTTTGCCGAAGAGCACATCAGCGAGCCCGTTGCCAAGCTCGTTACCGCCGTAAAACGCCTGAATCACAGTCGTGGCTTGGTCGATCCAGGCGCTCATGTCAACTGGCGAACCACTCTGGTTCACGATGACCGTTTTCGGATTTGCCTTGAGCACCTCTGACACCAGCTTATCTGTCAAACCAGGGAGCCTGTTAAGAAGAGTCAGCGAATACGGAATACGATAGAATGCAATCGCTTACTTCATGTGCGGGCGGTCAAAGCCTTCACTCTCGAGATCGTGATTGAGACCGATGACAACGACAGCCGCTGTGAATAGTTCAGCGCAAGCATTCGCGAATACATGGCGGAAAAAGCTTACCGTCTGCCTCCTTCGCCGCCTTCGCTGCTGATGCAATGGCCTCCTCAGGGTTGAGCGTCTTGACGCCACCCATACGAATGCCGCCACGCGTCGAGAATGGCGCTCCGCCGCCGGCCTGGAAGCTCGCGTTGCTCATACGCATTTCAACGCGTACGGCCTGGCCCTTCTTCAATCCTTTGATGGTGGCGCGGAGATCCTCCGTTCCAAGACCGAAGAAGGACTCGCCCGGCGGCGCGTTCATGAGATCAATGGCAACCTTGCCATCGATGAACAGCGTGCCCTTGCCAGAGATAGTTGCGTCGAACTCCCAGTCGCCATCCTCGTCAGGTACAAACTCTGTGCTGTACCGGATCCAACAGGTATCGTTGACCTTCGAGTCGTCAATGCCATCCATGAGGAAACAGCTGCTACCACGCGTGGGGGTACTCCATGCGCAGGCTGGACCCTCCTCAAGGTTTTCAAGCCAACCAGGGGCTGGCTCTTCATTCCAGAATTCAACGAGAGCACCCGGCTTGCCACCATGCGTGATGTAGGGGTCGAGCAGTGGAAGCCAATTGTGCGTGTGCGCGCCCACTGAGAATGTTACTTGTGCGCCTGTCTCCGCCGCTACAGCAGTGATGGCGTCGAGAGCCGAGACGGTATACGTCTCAAGCAGACGAGCAGAGCCGCCGCCGGAAGAGAATGCGAGCTTGGCGTTGGGGCCGATGACGGCGATGCTTCTTGGGCTCTTGAGCGGTAGAACACCCGCGTCATTCTTGAGGAGGACGGTTGCGTCTGCGGCAGCGCGGCGCAGCAGAGCCCGCACTTCTGGTGTATCATAGCTCTCTTCGGGACCGTCGAAGGGAATGCCGGACTCATGCGCGTGGACCATCAGCTCAAGGATCTAAGCAACTATCAGACTAATGTCGATATCTGAATGGGGTAATTAGTACCTTGCGAACGCGGGCGTCGATATCTCCTGGCAGTAGCTTCTCTCCGGCAAGAGCGCGGGTGATCGCTGCACCGCGCACGACACTTGGGCCACTGGGATGGTTATTAGCGGTAGCTAGATACCGGGTACTTCAAGGTTACATACGGCATCTCTAGGTCAAGACCGGCCTTGATGGCCTCCGTTGTAGAGTAGGTGCCGATCCAGTCGCTCATAGTCATGCCTTTGTAGCCTAGCAGAACATGTGAGAATTGGGGCAGCATCGTCCAGCAAGCAAAGAGCAGTACCCCATTCCTGATTCATTCAGTCACGTTGATGACCCGAGGGAAATAACATTTGGTCGTACCTTGCGCAAGATCTCATCCAGCAGCCAGGGGTTTTCGGAGACATGAAGGCCGTTAACACGGTTGTAGCTGGTCATGAGAGCCTGACGCAGTTGTTCAGCTCTCGCGTACAACCCGAAACGCGACCAACACGCACCCAGGGATTTGAATCGCGGATGGCAATCTGAAATGGCTTGAGATAGATTTCGCGCAGAGCCCGTTCTGTCACGTCGCTGCTGATAGAGAAACTGCCGTTTGCTACATCAGTCTTCGAGGCACCCATGCCACAGACCATGTCAGAGTTACCGTTCAAATTCTTGATCATTCGCGACGTCTGAAACCTGTTTGAGTAGCTGACCGGTGTCCGAAAGCCGGAGAGACTCACAGTGTTTAATTGTAGCGGCAACGCCTCTGGCCTGAAGGCCGTTGATGTATGCAGCGGCAATGTGCCCATTCACATGCGGGTCCTCAGAGAAAGACTCGAAGCTACGTCCGCCGAGCGGAGAGCGCTGCGTATTGACAGTAGGCCCCAAAAGAATGTGGCATCCTGGAGATGCATCAGGATCTGAATCGGAGATAATCCTGGAAGCAACACGCACCCTTGGCACGACATTCCTCGGCGAGCGCAGTTCCAATGTCACGCGCAAGACCAATATCGAAGGAAGACCCGAGGCCTGTTGAGGCGGGGAAGCAATTCGATGGCACGCCGTTGAAGACTGTTCAGCCGAAAGTGAGCTGTGGCGCCTATGGGATGACCCTTCAAGACGACGTACATCGAGTGCCGCGAACACCATTGGGACCATCACTCATACGCATAGATGGAACGCCAGCCTCCGGGACGGGTTCGGTATGCCACCAGCCCTGCATAGTGTTAGCGATGTATTTCAGCAGCATACAGAGAAGAGGCCATACTAAGCCAGCAAGTAGCCTGATCTTCTGCGGCATCGTGAGCTTTGCCAGCGTCGCTTCGACATCGAACTGGGTAGACTGAGCCATAGTAGTCGCAGCAGAAAGTGCGGCGCGATGTAGAGGGAAATAGAAGCGGGGTGGCAGGATTATCCGAGTGCACCTGAGACTTTATACAGAGAGGAAAGCTGCATATCCGGTACGCGTAGCGAGCAGGTGCCTGCACCGATCGGCTTTCTCTGACCTAGGCTCCTGCGGAATGCCCTAATGGAGGACTCATGACCTCGCGTACCCTCAGAAGAGCTTTCCGCGACGTTGGCGAGGGTGCGCTCGACTGTTGTTTGCTGCTGCTTGACAGACGCGGATTCCTGAGTGCCCCTATAGTTTCTCCGACGAGCTTCCGTCGTGTGCATCTTGCGATATATCCGGCTGCCCAGAATCAGCTGGACGTTATGGAAGATTTATACATCAAGCAGGGTACTGAAAGGAGCCTGTATGCACTGTGAATGCTGCCACCCGGAAGAACTCGTTCACCAGGCGCACTACATCATGCGATGTGGGGAGGAGGAACAAGCCGTGGAATGAGCGCGCCGAAAGTCAACCGTGACGTGACTATGTGACGCTGACGCGCCCTGCCCGAAATGTTTGGCGCTCGCAAAGCCGCAATCCTTTCCCCGGCAAGCCCATCCATCCGCGTACCCCGTCGCACCTCCTCGCGGACACGTGCAGAGCATCTCAGATAGCGTACAGACCCCAAACCCGTCATCCGCCGCCCGACATGCCGCCCCGCGCGACGGACAAGTGGGTTTCGATGTTCCCGAGGCACAAATTCAGCTCACACGCGCGATAGGGGCAAGAAACGCGCATCGCCTGAAGACGAAGACGAAGACGCACCCTTAAGTTCAAAGTCTATAAAGAGGCGTGCGTGTGACTGTCCTCATACGACGTGGCGGTAGAACTGAATATGTCTTGTCCTTGTATCTTACAGCTAAACGCGCTGAGACGCGTGAGTGTCCCATCTGTCAAGAGCCCATTCCGCTCCGTCTGTTAGGGCAACACGTTCAGCTCGAGTCCGAGCGCGTACAGAACATCTTGGACCATGTTGGTGACTTGATTGAACACTCAGATCCCTATGCTGCGAGCATAAGTTCCGAGTGCGCTACACTCATCTACTACATCAAGCATTTGCTAATTTTCATACTGAGACCACTGTCACGACGACGCTCAACAGTCAAACACCAATCACAGCCTGCTACGTATTCTGACAGCACCACAAAGGCATTGCGTGGAGTGCAGAAGCGCCGACGAGCGCGCCATACGCTCCTTCGCGACGCCACACGCGATGATGAGCCCCGCACCGCACGCGGCAGGTCACGAGCAACAGCGCCTGAACCTTGTCCAGTTTGCCAACAGATTATTGCTGGGGATCCGGATGTATTTGCTGCGCATGTCGACTCCTGTCTCGCTCATGCCGCGCTCGTTGAACAGCAAGGGCAGCATTCTCGCTCGGGTACGCCGGAGGAAGTGGAGGCGGACGTGGACGTAGACGTGATGGACGAAGGCGACATGGATGATAATAGCGGGGATCCCTGGGAAGAGATCGCGGGTCCAGACGGTGTTTCACGCTTGAGGCTACGAGCCTCTAACGCGGGCGCGCGGGCGTTGGGTTTTGATGTGCGTGACCCTTCAGCGCAGGACGTCGATGCAGATGTCGATATCGACGGGGACGACGAGGTTGCCTTCGGAGTTGCGCAGTTCACCGAGGCAGACGTGGACGGGGCCGAGCTTCCCGGAGCATTGGTAGAGGAAGCGGACATTGAGGCGGCGATCTCCAGTGCCAGACGGAAGGGAGACGACAAGGCTTTAATCATCGCGCTGGAAAGTAAAGTCAAATTCTTGGTGAGTCGACTTGCGTATTTTTCGCACAAGCCACGCTCATGCGTGCCGTCAGCAAACCGCGCCGTCTACCGTGGCCGCGGTATCGAACTCTTCTTGCCGCATATGCCTCGACGCATATGTGGAACCGACAGTCAGCACAGGGTGCTGGCACGCGTGTTGCCGTGAGTGTTGGTTGCGTTGCATTGGTTCAAATAAGCTCTGTCCCATCTGCAAGCGCATCACGGCAGCAGGCGACCTGCGTAGAGTTTTCTTGTGATAAACGTCGATACTCCGTCCTTGGACGGTTCTCCTGCACTCGCTGTCATATTGTTTTGGGTCTTGCTATGATGTCACAGTCAGTATCACTGTATAAGAGGGAAGACAAGCGAAGGGCAGCTCATATCTGGCCTTGACAATTCCACAAGGTCACCCAGCGGTAAGAGAGCGGGTGGCTCGGGAAGCTCAACCCGAAGGTACAAGCAACACCACGAGTCGTTGAATCATAGGGCACGAATCCGAGAGGCGAAAGACTTGTACTTACTGACGTCGTAGCTGGCTCCAGTCGGTTCACGCATCAAGACCGAACAGCAAATCCATTACTTTCGACAAGCTATGATAACGATACAGGGATACGTGCAGCTGACAGCATAGTGGATGAAAGGCGTGAGGTCTATGCCAGCGGACTCATGAGCCTGTACATGGCGTTAATATACGGCTGCAAGCGGACTAAAACATAACGCACTTAATGAGAGAGGGTTGCGGGTTCGAGCGAGTGAAGCCGACATAGATGACGAAAGGGATCCAGCCGTAATGAAGGACAGTCTATACCTCAGTGAGTATGTACGAGAGTGAACGCTGGCAAACCTATACGTACGCGGCCAATGTCAACGGCACGGATAATGCGCTCCTATCATGTCATGAGTACAGTGGATAGAGTCATAAAGTGTAGAAACGTACTTTGGTCTCTTCAGAAGGCATGGCGTGGCGGTCGTTGGAAGAATGCGCCTGACGCGCGGGTGACGCGCGGATTCACCTGTCGGCCTTTGCCGTAAACGTTTCCCACATTACACGCTCCCGAATGCGGCGGCGTTGGGGGCGTTTCCATCCTTATTTCTCACCGCGATCACCTTCCACGATCCTGTCCAGGAAATAGCTGCTCAGTAAAGCGCGATGTTCAATCAGCAATAAAGACCACATCTCACTCGGGGCACCCTTACCGAAGGCAGCAAGTCATTAAATATTGTTCACAGCCCGAAGAGAGAGCGCGTCATAGCCCAATCTTCACGGAGTCGGATGGCGCCGCGAGCAATCTCGTTCAGTCTCCAACAGTACTGGATTAAGACTGGAGATAGCGAAATATTGGCTTATGCATCCATTACTCGTGGCGACAGGTATCTGTCATACAACGAGATAGACCGATATAGTTTTGTACAGCATGTGGTCCCAGCGCTGTCTTAGATCGCGGGTCGATCAAGTAGGCGTCGGAGAGGAGAAGTGGTCCGCGCCTCCATACTCATCCGGATCTCAAAGTGCATTAGCGCTTTCCGTTTACAAATATGCTCATGAACCTATGCCTTCAAAGCCATGCAAGCTGTTACACGGTGGCAGAGAGTCATCGCTTAGCCGCTGTACTCCTGTCGGTGCCTTGTTCCGCTCTTCATTCAGAAGAGGACCACTGACATACGAGCGCATTGTTTATAACAGCTAGATCTCCCACTCGTCTACCCATATGTCAGCTGTCTCGACTAAACCGATGTCCATGGCCACGAACCTCACTGAAGAGATAGGTGTGGTCTTCCTTGTAACTTACCTGGATTAGTCTATACTCAAACACTCGTCCTGTCGTCGTCAATAGCTCTCGCTGTCGCTCAATGCTCAGATCTCAACGCTACCGCGACGACTTGCTACCCAACGAACCAGACGCGCCTCGCGCAAGGCGATCAAGACGTGTGGTTTGTCTGTGAGTACTATGCCACACATCTCCATTGATTCCGACATTGACTACGATTCTGTGTGTAGGGAATAGTCGTATGCCTGAGTTGACGCAGACGAATCAAGTCGACATACAGCTATTCCGGGTCGACGACAATGGAACTTCCAGAGAAGTGTATGAGTGGAATGGTAGGTACAACCCTACGGGAGGCGAAGCGGGCCAGCTTAGTATCCCAATATACACCGTGCTGTCTTCCCTCGACGAATACTGGACCGGCAGGCTCAGAATAGTTCCGCTATATTTTGCCATCGGACAGGCGAACGCTCGGAATGAGCAACCACAGGCCACGTTCGAGCTCGTCCGTAAGTCGCACTCTTGTTGGACACACTCGTCTTGAAAGCTCGACTGACTGGATGGACTACAGAACGCATGTGAGCATATGCACACTGCCGGACACCCTGACTCCATTGATTAACATGCGATAGACCTTTGCCCCTCTCTTCTCCTTCAGCAACGTCCACTCCTACTGCGTCAGCTCCCGCATCAGCCAACTCCCAGTCATCCGCGCCGCACCTCTCGGCAGGCGTCGTCGTCGGCGCTGTTCTTGGTGGTGCGTCGGCGATGATTCTCCTCTTGATGGCCGCATGGTCCTTCCGTCGTCGCCGCCACACAGCGACAGAGCCGGACTCTCTGAACGTGGAGATGGTAGACTGGAGATTGGAGTCGGAGACTAGCTCCATTTTCAGCAAGGATGACGAGGACATGAAGGCGTCTGTACACAGTACAACGGCGTGAACGACGCGGGGAAGGGGGGCGTTACAAGTGTCGTCGCTCGTAGCCGATTATCGTGTTATGTAGTAGCATGCAGCTCATCGATATCTCATAAACGACTATACACCGCAGACTTCCTCCGCAGAGGATACAAGATCAGAGCACTGGCACCGGGCCTAGTCATCGTCCTCGTCCGAATCAGAGTCCACATTGATGCTCGGCATCGGCTCATCCTCATCCTCCTCTTGCGACATCGCCCTATACCCAAAAGTCCGCGGTATAGAATTGGGCGGTGTAGTAGGCGGAGCGGGTCCAGGCTGAGGAACACCGGGTGCTAGGCTGGGTGCAGGGGTGATTGGCTGTGCCGTAGCAGTGACTCGGTTTGTTGAGGCAGGGACAGCCGTTGGAGCTGCGAAAGTCGGTTGCGGTGCGGTGGGAGCTGGTATCTTGCCAAAGAGGGCCGAACTTGTTGTGGAGGACAAAGATGCAGATACCTCGTTTGCCTGCGCGACTAAAAGGGGTGTGGCAATCGGCGCGCTGGGCTTCGGTGCCACCAACAGAGGTGTAGCAATCTTGACGGGCGTAGCCGTGGGAGATATCATAGGCTCATCAACCACTGCTACACCCAACTGTTTCCTGATATCCGCCTCCTCGTCGCCTTCTTCGGCCCGGAAAAGCGCAAGCGCCTCGACATGGGGCAGTGCTCGCACGAGTGGTGGCACGCGCGGATGCAAGAGGAGCTCGACCTCGCGGTGTTCGGATGGTGATAGCTGTGCAGAATGGAGAGCAAGAGGGAGCGATTTGCCCAAGACGCTCGATGTGCCGGCGGCATTCTCGAATACGGTAGCTTGAACTTTTGATAGTAGGCGAGGATGGAGGGAGAGTTCCGGGTTCAGTTGGGACGCTGGCAACGCTGGTAGCGATAGTTGTAGGGCGAGAAGGATGCGAGAAGCCAGGGAGGACGTAGTGGGTGCGACATAGGCATTGCGCATCAAAACTCTCAGGACTAGAATACGTGGTTATATAGAGCTCTCCGAAGTACAGGGCAGAAAGCTCACCGTCAAGCGCGATTAGTGCCGCGTTCCCGTCCGCGACAGTGGGGAGCACCACGCCGCCGCCGACTTTGAATACCTCGTCGCCTTCGTAGTCCCTCGCGCGCTTCTTCCCCTTTCGACTCTTTCCTGCGCCTTCCGCTCCATTCATGATAGCTGCGGTAGGCGTGTCTTCCGATTGCGGACGCAGCAACGGGGTGATTTGAACGAGCGTAGCCTTCGTGAGACGCGTCGGTAAGAGCGGGTGGTGTAATGCATGGGCGTGCTCCAGGAGGATGAGTACAGAGGTGAAGAAACCTATGCGCTGTGTTCTGTCTCGCATACGTCAGTCACGCTCAACATGGTGAGAGGATGTAATACTGACGAAGAGATGGGTCGTTCCAGATGGAATGCAAGGATCGTAAGCAAACGCGGGACGAATGCCGTGAGGTGTCCGCCTGCAGCGCACGCTATGTCGGCGAGGATCGAGTTACCGGCAGCCCATATGGATGGCACAGCAGATTCCTCGAGTGCCCTCGTTATCGCATCTACGTGGCTGTCGACCTTGAGAAATATGAGCTTAAGGTTCGGGGTGAGATGAACGATGCGTCCTACCTTGCCGTCTGTAGTACAGCTGAGAATGGTCTGTATGAACTCCACCAATGGGCCTACAGGCAACGAAACGGGCCGCGCAGTAGTGAACCTAGTGTAACGTGAGTGCTAAGACCGGGGCAAGATTGAGCAACGCGCGTACTGTAGCAGATCTTTGAGTACCACCGCTGTACACTCCAACCGATCGATGGCTAATGGTACGGTGACCAGTGGATCCTCTTGATTAGGCACGGCTCGTGTCTCCCCTATAGAACGCGTATCAGAGATATGCTTATTATATTGTGCAACTGCGAAATACCAGCAAATGGATAGGTCGTCCTCAAAACACGCAGAGAGTTCCAGCCGAACGCGAGGGTTTCGTCGATGGCCTTGCGCCATAGCACAGCTGCGCCCGTTTTGCCACCCGTATGAGGAAGCACGGCAAAGAGTGCAGACCCAGCTTCGCGCCGAGCTGGAGGTACACCGCCACTGGTATGTTGTAACGCGAGTGCGTGCAGGGCGCCGTGCATCGACTTGTGCGCGGTGGGGTACAGCGGTATAAGGTGGGTAATCGTGCAGATGGCCAGAATCTATAGATTGTACTGGTTTGAGTACGGCTTCACCATGGTATGAGTTGAAGTGCGTACCGCCAGTTCAGAGGGGGTGTCCGGCCTTTGTGCGAGCGCAAGCAGGGCCGCGCTAAACTTGGGCACAGTGGGCGTCGCGAGCAGCCGCGTGAACTCGGGGACGTCAATCGCAGCGCTGAGCACATGGGCCAGGAGCCTAATGGCAGCCTTGACGTTCGGCGGCGGCTCGTTTTTCTTAGAGGATGTTCATTCAAGACGATGCGCGGGACAGGCGGAGTAGTGACGGACGGACTGAAAGCATCGGAAGTGCGAGCGCCACCCAGCCCTGCGCGCGCTCAAGCATCAACGGCTTGCACAGTTGTGCGGTGCGCAGGGCGAGGGTCAGCCCGGCCCAGCGCGCACTGGGCTCTTTCGAGTGCAGCAGCGAGGACACGCGCGCAACCCATTTTTGCTGGTGTGGCGATGGTCCGAGTATTTGTGGATTGGAGTCTAACACTCTCACTACCTCCGGCAGCAGCTGGCAAGCCGATACGTCGGTAGCCAGGTGGGAGGTGAGCAGGACATGGGCGTCCATGGTCGTAAACTTTCAAGTGCCCCTAACTCGCGCGCCTCAAGCTCACGACGCGTCAAACGCGAAAATCACGCCGTGTTCCGATCAAAATGGTTTTGCGGCAGAAATAGTAGAAGAGTAGTGTAATATGTAGGATAGCAGGGTGCTACGTCTAGGGGCCGTGCTTCTCCTTGCCGCGCGGGCGCTCCTTGACGACAAACTGGTTGCTGCCCTTGGGGCCCATGGGTCCGGGCTTGCGGGTACGCTTGCCCTTGGTGAGCCAGCCCCAGGGAGAACGCGGGTGCTTGTTCGACTTGGACTTGCCACGACCACCACCGTGAGGATGGTCGACCCTGAGTTACGCGCGTCAGTGTGTGATATAAATCGAGACATGCACGACTGGACATACTTGTTCATGGCCATACCACGAACGGTCGGACGAATACCGAGCCAGCGCGAGCGACCGGCCTTGCCAAGCGACCTGTTCTTCCACATCGGGTTGCTGACTTTCCCGATGGTCGCCACACAGTCCGAGTGGATCTTGCGGACTTCACCGCTCTGAAGGCGAACCTGAGAGTACCTGCCGGCCTCGTGCACGACGACCTGAGCGAAGGTGCCGGCCGATCTGACGAGACGACCGGGCCCCTTGGGGTCAAGTGCAACGTTGTGGATGACGGTGCCGATGGGAATGTGCCGGAGCGGGAGGACGTTGCCGGGTTTGACGGTCGCCAGACGGAGCTGGCCGAGGGCGAGCATGGGGCCCTCGCCGATCGCCTCTTCCTGCGCAGCCTCGCCAGCAGCGAGCTTCTCATTCGCCAGTCGCGCCTTCTTCAGCTGCTTGCTCTTCCTTCCCTCCTCCACAAATCCAGGCACAAATCCGTCTGGGATGCCCTGCCTGAAGCTCTCCACCACAGCACCGGCCCGCATGCCCTCCGGCGCGAGAATATAGCTGAACCGCTCCGCGCCCGTCACGTTCGGATCACGCGTCTGCAGCAACGCCAGATGTGCGGACCGGTTCGGGTCGTACTCGATTCGCAGTACGTCGTGCGGGCCCGGTGTCTCACGTATGTAGTCGACGACACGCAACCGGCGCTTGTGACCTCCACCGCGATGGCGGACAGTGATATGTCCATGGTGGTTCCTCCCGCCCTTTTTTCGCAGGGGTGCAGTCAGAGCAAGCAACGGCCTTCCGGTCCACAGGTGGTCGTTTATTGGTCTCCTCAAGTGTCGCAGACCAGGCGTCACGGGCTTGTACGTTTTGAAGAGGTTCGTCGACCGCGAGAACGCCCCGGCGGTGTCCGACGACGTCGACGCGGCCGCCGGCGTCGCGTAGCCGCGCAGAAGGCTAGTGGTGGGTCGGAGTGTAGACAGGCATGAGGATATGAGGCTCGAGCCGCCTCTGACGAACGACATGCCCGCGCGTTGTAAAGAGTGAAAGGCTCCCGTGCAAGCATGCCAGCGGGCCCGAGATCGCGATCATGTGAGTTTCCCGCGCTCCAGAGTTGAAGGATACATCTGCGGAAGCCATGCGTGTTGTATGCTCACGCTTTTACATGGTGTACGATAAGCTCCCTGCAGTATCTTTGGTCTTGGCTGACGCGTGGCTAGTAACCATGAGCCGTATTGGCGCCAGACTCAGAGGTCGAAGCCAACGTGAGAAGGCGCGCCGCGTGGCCAGGTGAGTCGGTGCTTCACATCTTTCGTCTTGCTCTTTCGCCCCACCATCCCTGGGTAGGCAGTGGCTTGTTTGCGAAGATATCAAAAATAGCTCTCTGTGGTAACGCGATAAGGCTATGATACTGAAATCTTATCAGCACCATACCATCAGGCCTTGCAACGCGCGGCCATGATACAGCGAACGGGTGACAATGGGAATCTGGCATGCGGGTACGGTAGGCTTCGCGACTGTCCTTCTGGCGGCCCTGCTGGTCAAAAATTTGTGGTATGTTGATTTGCGCACCAGTTCTACAGAGCAATCTGACGACACTATGCATTCAGGCGAAGCTTCAAGGCAATATAATCATGGATGTCCTCTGTGATCATCATACCGGCCCTGACCGCCATAATGTATACGCTCTCGCTCTCGCACTTGGCCTACTCCTTTGCCTCTCTCTCTTTGTACAACGACCAGATTAACGCAGCGAAAGCCCAAAGACGTACGTCAGCAACTCGTCTTATGTGGGCGTGAATGTAACGGTTGCAGTCTTCGCGAGTGCATGCCTCGCCATCAATGTATGTGTGCAATCGGTCATGTTTCACTACACACTCCTGATTGTTATGCTCTTCAGACTGTTCTCACTGATGTCGTCGTACTTTGGCGAATGTGTATCGTATGAGAAAGCTCGATTCCCGATCATTCTCTCCGCGATCAAGCTCGTCATAACAACCTCAGCACTCGTCATAGCTAACTTGACAGGCTTAACTGGTATGACCAGGTTGCACGTCAAAGAGCCTACAAGGCGACCTGTTCATAGCACAAACGTCAATCGCGTGATGGAACTGCTCGTAGACTCCGAGGTAGCGTACACTGCCATCTTGGTACGTCTGCTCCATCCGTGCAATAGCGACGCTAATGAAGGACATACTCAGCTTCTGTATATTATCAGCTTCTTCAGAAACATCACGACGGTCGATCTAGGATCGGAGGATGCTACTACCCGGTCACGGCCGCAACCCATCTCGACGCCGCGATGGCTGAGCTCACAACCCGAACGGTGCACTGAGTTAGCCTCGTTTTCGTAGGATGTATACCCATTGATCATCCTCCTTCTCATCGGAGTCGACAAGGCGCGTAAACCCCGCCTGTTTGGGGAACAAGATGGCACCTTCTCATTGACAGTCGACATCGACCCGAACATGGATAAAGAGGAGAGAAAGATGCTCGATTCCAACAAACAGGATACACAAAAGAGGCGTGGTGATCATGTGCATATTGCGCATGTCTGGATTTAGGATTTGTTTGGGATACAGGATAACTAGTACATGAGGTCGCAACTTCTGATGCGGCACTTCGAAGAAGGTGCAAGGCAGATGAGATATGTGTATAGCGCACAAGTGACTAAAAGAGACACGGGCATCAATTGAGAGATTGCCCAATCGCTGGCGACGACAGCGCCCGTTGGTGGCCTGAACGAGCGGTGCTCTGCGGGTGAAACGGCGCTATCGAGGCAAAAGGCTGCACGCAATTGGTCGGTGTCCCATCATTACCCATACATATGGGACGCAGTAAGATGATGGCGTATCTCTCTAAGGGATTCGAGCAAGCAAAAGCAGTTGGTGGCGAGAAAGCAAGTTGCTACTCTGAGAGCAGATCGCGGTCACGAGAGAAGTCGGCGAGGCCCCGGCGCCCGAGCCTCGTGTTGAACTTGAAGCTGTTCGGCTCCTTGGCTCCCGCATCCTCGTCCTCGTTTCCTGCACGTTTGCTGCTACCCCTCCTCCCCTCACTCTCCCCTCACGCTCTTCACGAGAATGACACGACTCTTCACGCAAATTCGCTACGGCGGTTACGGTGCGTCCGCAGTGGTTCCGGAGTATGTTTGAGACACTGGTTGAACTCTGCCTCAGCGGCCGTGATCATATTCTCGGCGGTAGTACTAGGCGTCTCGGCATATCTTGCAAATCAATTCCTACCAGACCTTCATCGTGCGTTGTCGACGAATCCTGTGCTAGTGCATAACTGACCTCCACTCGTAGATGACTTCACGATATTCGCCCTCATCCCGCCCTCATATACAATACTGTTGTCTGTCATATTGTGCGCGATCAAAACCTCGACTTATACGGATATCTGCTGACACTGGTGATTGAACAGACTATTTGTATCAAATCCTAGAGCCGAGATCGTTCATGCCTTCGTGACGGGCGTTTTGTGGTTGATCATGGGCGCATGGACTGCGTATGTGCTACCCATCCAGTCATAACCCGTACCCTCATCCTCTCCTCGCAGTGACTTTCTCGGGTCTTCAAAATGCTCTGCGCAAGTGGGCTCAACAACGCCGACCACTCATGGCACCAGTACGTCATGACATCATCGACGCATCAGGACAATGCGCTCATGTTGATTCTCCACCCAGTGTCTGCAAATCTCTATTGCGAGCTGTCAAAAGTGCAGGAGGCGTTCGCGTGGGTTCTCTTCGTACTGTGTATGTCGTGCATTACTCTTGTCCTTGGAACTATGCTGACACTCTAGCACAGTCGCGCTCTGGTTTTTCATCGTGATTTCGTTGACGCGCCGATCACTCGCTATGGGACGCGAGTTTATCTGGACGGAAAACGTCAACCTCCTCCCATGGTTCGGCCAGGCACCGTCATGGCCTGGTATGGCAGAAGGCCAGTACCCTGAGCAATATCGCCCCTTCTACGGCTATCCGGGATACCAGCAATACTACCCTCAAATATCCAACGGCACGATGGGCTATCAACATTCGGGCGTAGCCGGATCTTCCTATCCCGGTGGACAGTACGTGCAGCAAATGCCTGGGGCAGCGACTGTAATCCAAGGCAGCCATGTCAGCCACGTCCCAACGAGCTACTGAGTATGCGCTCCGTCTCCTCTTCGAACATCATCGCCGCTGCTCCGTGCTTGTTCGTCATACATTGTATATTACCATGGACACTTGTTAGACTCTACCTTGTAATCGAGGCCAAGACATGAACTGTCGATGGACTTATTGCTTAGGCCTTCGTCGGGCTATAGTGGACGCTCAAACTACCGACGCTCCGTTCTGTTGCTAAAGCGCTAGTGTTTTCTATGCCATTCGAGTTCAGGGGAAATCGCGGTGCTCATGCGAAATGCAGATGCCGTAACGTTCAACACGGAACTGCCATATGACGGCGTACTAGTGCAGAGCCACTGATCGCCTGGATAGCCCCCGCTGAGCGGATAGCTGCATATATGTCGCGTCGTGGGAAGGAACGCGCACCTCCTCCCCTACCGTCATGGTCTCCGTCGATGTTCTTTCCATCCCCCATGAGCCTGTTGCCGTTTCAAATTGCTGTCCACGTCCGAGTCGCATCAATTTTGTTCAGTCAATCCGTTTAGCACCGCCTGGTTCAGCACACATATCACTCGTTCCTCGTCGCTTCTTTGCAAGGATACTTTGGTTCGCCATCTTACCGATCCGCGTGCAATCGCGTGCAACTGCGCTATAGCCGAATCCAGCTCCGCATCAAGATTTTGCTTTCGACATGTAGTCGACAAGCATATAAACCGCATCTTCAGCCAGCAAAGGCATGCTGGTCACTCCCCTACATATGGCTTTGAGCGGACATAGAAGTGCGTTCCCTGCATGCGCTGAGCTGTCGGAGATGCTGTTGGGAGTCCCGACCGTCGACGCACCGCTCTGTTCACTGCGGCCACACTTATGGCACCGGATGTGCCCAGTCACCAACCCAGAGACCCGGAGTTGAGCAAGCTGGTGGCTTCCCGACAGTGTGCGAAGAGGCTGTCCTCAGTCTGCCCAGACTGTCTTGGACCATTCTGGAACAACCCTACATGCCGTCCCTAAGGATATGTGGGATATCTTCCTCGTGACGAAACATGGTGGTGGTTCAACGTTGCCTTGTCAAGGACCCTCTGGTGCTGTTCATTGATCATTAACACCCATTAATTGGTGCTTCACGCCGAATTCCTGCGCACATCCATTGGCTCCTCAAGCTCATACTATTGGACTACCGAAAGGCAAGCCGACGATATGGCCTGACTTCGGGAGCCGCAATCTCGGCTCGGGCTTTTCGCTTCAAGTTGATCAGTCGCGTGGGCCGTTATAACGCGCCGTCATTCGCAGAGCCTCAGACGGGAAAACTGTTTGCTAGCCTACTGTCCAAGCGCTTTCATCGCTTTATATCACGAGGAAGGTCCCGTATTGAGACCTATGGACGTTCGCGTAAGCTTCCCGCGCACCGCATATAACCTCGCTGCCCAGCCTTTTCAACTAACACAATCCTCGGGTCCACGCAGCCACCGCCAACCACCGCCGGCCACCGTCGGACTCCCGTATGGTATTCTCCCTTCCCTCCGTAACGCGGGAGCGCAAGTCGAATGGGCGCACGAGCTGTGTGGGTGATACAGTCCAACTCAGTTTTCGACACGCCCTTGTAAGACTCATATACTCAGTAAGGTGCGCACGGCAAGTCAACTCTTGAACGTCCCTCCCTAAAGCACCCTCATGACTAACACCTTTACGATTATGGACTATGTGCAGGCATACATCGGCGTTTCCTCCTTCCTGTCTCTGAGCTTCGGACCCGACGTTGCATGGGAGCGCGCCAATCGCTTCGTATACGCATCGTACACTCGCTGGCATCCGCCGGGCATCGTACCCCACGACCCTTCACAAGCTCTCTTCGCACCTATACAACCATCTTTCGGAGTTCCCAGTCACTCTATTCTATTCGCTATCTCGACTGCTCTGTCGACTCTACACTTCTCCGACATACGTTGGCAATCACACGATGGCGGACAGACGTTCTCGCGATACTGTACCCTGGATATGATTGCTCCTAGTCCATCGCATGTCATTCCGTCTCGCATCTTCAGGCCATACAACGGTACTAGGCGTCGCGGGGCAGCTACAATGGAGAACACAGATATGCTGCCCATCTTCTTCACCCAGACGAATGGGCTCCGCGTCGGCGTATCGATCGCAGAAAGTGCCGATCTTAGCGTCATACCGGATGTGCCCACTCGCATCACACGCTCGACTGTCAAAGTCCTTCTACATGTACGTACACATCTGAAGTGCACCGCCTAGAGGCTATTCGCTCATGTGCTGCTATCGCAGCTTCGAAACTACGGTCTTGAGGAGACGCAAGTACGACTGCGAAACAACACGACGGGTCCCAACGTTACCGCTCGTCAACTTGCTAGGCAAGTTGCAGCGGCAACCCGTATTATCATTCGAGTGAGTGCCCATCCCGGGGTCTACACTGTTGTGTCTGCTATTCGCGTGTCTGACGTGTCTCCGTAGAAAGCCGCAGCGAAGGAAGTGACTCTGATGACCTGGGAGGACGCCCGATGGCGCTTTGGCTCGGGTCCGGGATGCATTAGGATCGAGGATGTCGAAGTCGTCGGCGTCATCTTCGTATCGCCGGGCAAGGTCACACCGATGTTGCAGCTGCGCCCAGACTTCGGTGAGCAGGGGCCTTTGCCGTGATGTGGACGCCACTTACCCGTCTTTCAGTTCCGTCTTTGCATCTATCTCTCCAATAGTATACCCTCCCGCATCTATACCCATCTCCGCTGTCCCTATCTGCCTTTTCCAATCTTCTTGTTCGCCTGACAACTCATGTAGCATACACTGCACTCACCCACGCACTCTCACGTCTCTCGAACCAGCGAATCCTCCTCCTTGTAGCGCGCCGGTCTTGATCCCCGAGCCTGTCTTCATGTATATTGTATCACACGCTGTGACCCTTGCTGTGTCCCCTTGCTTCCGAGTCCCCCCGCCTTTGTACTGCCCACGACCATGAGGATGATTGTAGACCCTGCGCCTTCGTATTGTGTACCTATCGCTCGAGTGAGCATGACTATGCGCATTTCAGACATGTAGAATCACTGTGGTGCCCGCACTATGAGCACAGGATGTACTCGTGTCGGGCACGGCCTTGCCTCACCACCAGCCCCATCGCGGTAGACATCTATATCATCATATGTGCAGCCATTCAAGCTTGTCATACCGTTTCTATCTGTCACCAGATCCCAAGCTCCATAGGCCCGAAGGGACCAGGACATCCGTGGTCCATCGATCCGTTAGAATGTATCCATCGGGCAAATTCTATAGCATTATAGTATACACATCGTAAAAGCGGGACAAGCCGCTCGTCGGGTTACTGCATCGTCCCTCTCCTCGACGGTCCTCGTGACAGGCTCTTGCCGGTCTTCTGCTTTTGCGCTTCTCCGATGAGCTCTCCGATGAGCTTGTTGTACATCTCCGAATCTTGCTGTAGAGCGTCGCGGGTCTGTAGGGTATATGTGAGGAGGGATGAAGTAGCGGCCGTTTGTGCGCGCATGTCTGCGAGGTGCTTTTCAAGAATGGGGAGAGGGAGTAGTGATAGTTGATCTGGATAGCAAATATGAGTACGTGTCAAGGAGTAGAGCAGTGATAGGGGCGCACCGTAGCCGAGTGATAGCAAGTGCTCGATCTTGGGCTCGTCTATGGCAGGTTTGGGACCGAGGCCCAAGCGCTCTGCCGGCCCGCGCGGCGCCGGAGAGCCTCTCCTGGAGCCACCTGCACTTGCACTGCCGTTTGGGTGATGACCGGGTCGTGCGCCTGGGGGCGCGCTCATGGGACGGGTTGTGATCTGGAGTGCAGGCAAAGGCTTGCCGCCGGCATGAGGTAGGACCTCGTCGAGGTTGACGGGTATGCCGAGGCTGATGAGGTGTTGTCTCCTGACGCGGCTCCGTGTCCAGTTGACGGGACCGGAGAGCGGCGGGGCGGAGGAGAGGAGGGTCTGGTACAAGGACCGGCTTTAGAGGGTCGCGTGAGGACAGGCAGGGCTAGGCGACTGCAGCCGTACCTCTCGGGCGTGACGAGAACCTGTGCGAGTCCACCGACTTCCCGTATCGGCTCGTCGCTCAACGCGCTCCCGACATCGTCGTACGCCCACACGGGTGCGAGGATGTTCTCGATCTGATCCCTGAGCTCTGCCCGGGGCGGGAGCGGGTCGAGCACGAGGGCGTCCCAGTGCGACGGCCCGGCCAGCTGCGCCTGATCCTCAAACGCCGCATCTCCCGCAAACCCAGCCTGGTCCTGGGGCGCCTCGTCAAAGTCGCCAAAGTCGCCAAAGTCATCGGTGGAGGCGGGATCGGCGGAGGGCTGCTGGACGTCGCCGAAGTCGTCAAACCCGACCTCGTCGTTGTCTGGCGGTGGCGAGGCGAAGCTGGGTGCAGAGTCAAAAGTGGTGGAGGCAGAAGCGTCGTTTGCCCAGGGAGAGCCCCAGCCGTCGTCGTCCATCGTTGAGCGCAGATCACCGTCGGCCAGCCCGCGTCGTGTGTGGGAGAGCGCGGGAGTCCGGCGTGACCGGGCCGTCACGCCACTCAGATTTTGCACAGAGCGCGCTCAGCCTCCCGCCCTCAGCTCAGCAGCCCCGGCGGCGACGAGGACGCTGACCACTGCCGCCGCCATGAACATCTCACAGTCTATTCCCTCGTCCGTGACCTCCGTCGCCTTTTCCTTCCTCACCGCAGACGACATCCGCCGCATCTCCGTCAAGCAGATCGTGAACCCCGTCCTGCTCGACGACAACAACAGGCCAAACGTCGGCGGACTGTACGACCCCGCCCTCGGTCCCGCAGACAGGAAAGACATGTGCGTCGCTCGCTACATTATATTTCTAAACTGCAAACGCTGAAACTCTGTACAGTTGCGCGACCTGCAGGGGCACCTCCTTCTCATGCCCCGGCCACTATGGACACATCGAACTGCCCGCGCCTGTCTTTCACCCGCTATTCTTGAATCACATGTACAATGTCCTGCGCGCAACATGTCTTTACTGTCACAACTTCAAGCTCGCACGACCTACCGTGAGTGAGCTTCCCGAGTACTACCATGTGCACGCGCTATATGCGCCGCAAAGGAATGCAATCCAATGTATATGGTGCTTGAATACAACGTGTTCATGTGAAATCTTCACGCCGCTCATTCTGCGGCCATGTACACTAAGCGTGCATTTAAAACTCACATTGAAACCAACCCCGCCG